GTGCGACAGGAGTCAGGTTGGGCTGCTGAGCCTGCCCCTGGTCCTCATGGGCAAGCATCACCTTGGGCTGCTTCAGAGCAGGAGAAGCTTTCTGCAGGGCCACAGACTGTTCTGCCTCTGCACTGACTTCAGGACTTACAGTAAGGCTCGTATGCAGTGGTGGTGCCGTGACACTGGGTAATGCTGGAGGCTGAGCTGAGTCCTGACCTGATGGTGCTGGGTTTGCCATCTCATGTGGTTCTGCAGGTTGAGCTACAACCTCCATAGATGGCTCTGGAGGCTGAGATGGGGTCTTCTGCAAAGTCAGAGAAAGTCGGACTCCGGAGGTAGGTAGAAAAGTTCGGGAATATTTCAGGTGCAAACGTGGAATCATGCCAGGATTCACATTGGGCCTCTGAGCCTGCCCCAGGTCTGGATGTTTCAGTGTCACATCCTGCAGGGCCACAGAACGGTCAGCCTTTGTGGTTGGCTCAGGGCTGATGGTAAAGCCCATATTCAGTGGTGATACTGAGACACTGGGTGATGCCGGAGGCTGAACTGAGTCCTGACCTGATGGTGCTGGGTTTGCCATCTCATGTGGTTCTGCAGGTTGAGCTACAACCTCCATAGATGGCTCTGGAGGCTGAGATGGGGTCTTCTGCAAAGTCGGAGAAAGTCAGACTCCTGAGGTAGGTAGAAAAGTTCGGGAATATTTCAGGTTCAAAGGTGGAATTGTACCAGGATTCAGATTTGGCCGCTGAGCCTGCCCAAGGTCTGGATGTTTCAGTGTCACATCCTGCAGGGTCACAGAACGGTCAGCCTCTGTGGTCGGCTCAGGGCTGATGGTAAAGCCCATATTCAGTGGTGATACTGAGACACTGGGTGATGCCGGAGGCTGAACTGAGTCCTGACCTGATGGTGCTGGGTTTGCCATCTCATGTGGTTCTGCAGGTTGAGCTACAACCTCCATAGATGGCTCTGGAGGCTGAGATGGGGTCTTCTGCAAAGTCGGAGAAAGTCGGACTCCTGAGGTAGGTAGAAAAGTTCGGGAATATTTAAGGTTCAAACGTGGAATCATGCCAGGATTCACGTTGGGCCTCTGAGCCTGCCCCAGGTCTGGATGTTTCAGTGTCACATCCTGCAGGGCCACAGAACGGTCAGCCTCTGTGGTCAGCTCAGGGCTGATGGTAAAGCCCATATTCAGTGGTGATACTGAGACACTGGGTGATGCTGGAGGCTGAGCTGAGTCCTGACCTGATGGTGCTGGGTTTGCCATCTCATGTGGTTCTGCAGGTTGAGCTACAACCTCCATAGATGGCTCTGGAGGCTGAGATGGGGTCTTCTGCAAAGTCGGAGAAAGTCGGACTCCTGAGGTAGGTAGAAAAGTTCGGGAATATTTCAGGTTCAAAGGTGGAATCGTACCAGGATTCAGATTTGGCCGCTGAGCCTGCCCCAGGTCTGGATGTTTCAGTGTCACATCCTGCAGGGTCACAGAACGGTCAGCCTCTGTGGTCAGCTCAGGGCTGATGGTAAAGCCCATATTCAGTGGTGATACTGAGACACTGGGTGATGCTGGAGGCTGAGCTGAGTCCTGACCTGATGGTGCTGGGTTTGCCATCTCATGTGGTTTTGCAGGTTGAGCTACAACCTCCATAGATGGCTCTGGAGGCTGAGATGGGGTCTTCTGCAAAGTCGGAGAAAGTCGGACTCCTGAGGTAGGTAGAAAAGTTCGGGAATATTTCAGGTTCAAACGTGAAATCATGCCAGGATTCAGGTTGGGCTGCTGAGCCTGCCCCAGGTCTAGATGTTTCAGTGTCGCATCCTGCAGGGCCACAGAACGGTCAGCCTTTGTGGTCAGCTCAGGGCTGATGGTAAAGCCCATATTCAGTGGTGATACTGAGACACTGGGTGATGCCGGAGGCTGAACTGAGTCCTGACCTGATGGTGCTGGGTTTGCCATCTCATGTGGTTCTGCAGGTTGAGCTACAACCTCCATAGATGGCTCTGGAGGCTGAGATGGGGTCTTCTGCAAAGTCAGAGAAAGTTGAACTCCTGAGGTAGGTAGAAAAGTTCGGGAATATTTCAGGTTCAAAGGTGGAATCGTACCAGGATTCAGATTTGGCCGCTGAGCCTGCCCCTGGTCTGGATGTTTCAGTGTCGCATCCTGCAGGGCTACAGAATGGTCAGCCTCTGTGGTCGGCTCAGGGCTGATGGTAAAGCCCATATTCAGTGGTGATACTGAGACACTGGGTGATGCCGGAGGCTGAACTGAGTCCTGAACTGATGGTGCTGGGTTTGCCATCTCATGTGGTTCTGTAGGTTCAGCTATAGCCTCCATAGATGGTTCTGGAGGCTGAGATGGGGTCTCCTGCAAAGTTGGGGAAAATTGGACCCCTGAAGTAGGTAGAAAAGTTCTGGCATATTTAAGGTTCAATGGTGGAATCATGCTAGGATTCAGGTTGGGCCACTGAGCCTGCCTCAGCTCTGGATGTGCAAGTGTCACCTCAGGGTGTTTCAGAGGAGAAACGATAGTATCCTGCGGGCCCACAGAAGGGACAGGCTCTGTGGTGAGTTCGGGGCTGATGGTAATGCTTCTTTCTTTCTGCCACTTAGGTTTTGCCCATTGATAAAGACTTCTAGAGACCTCCTCAGCAATCTGCCAATGCTGAGCTGGATCCTTCTTCAGGTTCAGGGGTGAAACAAACTGTGATGCCATTGAACTCTTACTCAGTGGAGGTGGAACAAGTAAAAGAGGTTCGTGGTCTGTAGCCTGCTCTAGAACAGAGGTCTCAGTCTTCCTTTTGCGTCGAGGAGGCAAAGCTACAGCTTGGTTCTGATCCCTACCTGAATCCGCCTCAGAGAGCCTCTCTTGGCCGGCAAACAGGTCCTGCAGACCCTGATGTGGAGCAGCAAACTCATCTGGCCACAGCTCTCCCGTAGACTCTTTACGTGGAAGCAACACGTCTCTACGCACAAAGGACCCAAGATACTCGAATCCCCCCAGCTCCGTGGGGGCAGTAAGGTCATGCAGCGATTTCTTTGGGGGAGACTTGTAGGGAAAAAACAAAAAATTGGGCTGCAGGGGCTCCGCGTTCAGGTGGACTGGCTTTTGGGCCCACTCCGGAAGTGGAGCCATTAGGCCCAGTAGCCACAACTGCGGCCACACAAAGAGCCCTGTAACCCAGAAACAAAGTACAAACATAATGATACCAGGCTTGGTCACCAGGACCTAGGCCACTAAGCTTCCAACCAAAGGTGCTGGAATCTTTCTTGTAGCCACTAGCTACAAGTGCTTGATAACCTTGTACTTCCCACCCTGCCCCGCCCTTTCTGACATCACAATGACCAGGGCCAAGTCCTTGCCCAGCAGAGGTGATAGCGCCTTCCTCCAGGGCCATCTCCCTGTATGGCAGCAGGATACCCACCTCAGACCTGTGAAGTCTAAGCATGCAGAAGCCCTTTGGGTGGGGCCTGGCAGAGCTTCCCATGAAAGTCACAGGACAGGCCTTGGGAAACTCAGAAGTAGTAACCCAGTCTGGCAGCCTGAGCTCTTCCTGCTCTAAGCTACAACCCTACAGAAATGCTCCCTCCTCCTGGGTATACAGCTTCCAAGAGAAGCAACTGACCTACAAAATGAGGACCAGTTAAGGTGGTAGGCAGCAGAATATGCAATATGGCGATTTATTCCCCATTGTTGCCATTTGCTCTAAACGCTCAGTATCAGGTTCCATGTTGGAGAACTCATTCCCCTCTGTTAGGCTGGGGCTGCGTATACTGATGATGCCACAATTTCTGCAGAAGGGTTTTGCAGTTCGGCAACTGCAGCTAAGAGCAAGGGTTTGAATCCGAGTAGCCCGTTCTTCACATCAGTAGGACAGAACTCTCCCCATCCCACCACGGCTCAGCAGTCATTCATCTAGCTGTGACAAGGCCATTTTTCACAGCAAACGTGGATTAGACATTTAGCATGTTAAAGTCTGCAGGCTAAATAATTTTCTTGAAACACTAATGTAACCTCACTACCTTCACAGTCCTCCTTCATCCATTTTACTATTCATTTCTTCCCTGGCACAGCCCTAGCATGTGAAGTTCAAGAAGGCGCTTCATTCACCCTCTTATCCCTCCTGCCTTGCATGACCCTGGGCACACCGTAATGGTTTCAAAATAGAATTAGTTTCAAAAGTCCCCTTGTGTAGGGATGGATGTGGTGTTAAAATCAGATTTCTGAAATCAGTGATGACTTCCTCTTTCTACATTGTACAGGAAGTTTGAAGCTTCTTGAGTATGAAACTAAAACCATTTTTTTAAACCATTCTTTTACCTGGAAAAAAATTCCGATACTTTTCCAGAACATAATCACATTTTCCACATATTCAAAACAAACACTTTTCTTATTTTTAATCAAAAATCCCCAAATTAAGTCACTGGCATGAAACACCTTTTTTGCCTCCTTCCTTTTCGAAATCCTAAATGTTGTAAATAATGATAGTTTTCTTTTAGAAATTACTTTGGAAAACTAACCCCTGGTCAAAAGTTTCATCCCAGCTCACGGTGTGAGAGAGACAGTCCAAACCCACAGAGGCACAGTTACTACATGTGAGTCCAGAGGCTTCCATGCAGAAATGCACCAGTGCAGTAGAGCAGCAGACACTGTGGGCTCCAGTGGCCGGTGAGTGATTCCAGTTCAGATGTCCCCAAGAGACTGACCAGTCACCATTTTGGAAAGGGGCCAGCTGAGCCCAGGCCTCA